ACGACTCAGCAAGAGTCTCAGAACTGGGAGCTTCTAGTTGAACCCTTAGGCACTAAGGAACCTAACAGGTTACAGTCACCATTCAAAATCCTGTGGCAGGAGCGGCCACACATAGGGGACCAAAAACCCAAAGCACCAGTGAAAGAAAAGGGACTTGGGTACCAACAGCATGCTCTGCACACAGCAGACAAACTAATGGATATTAGTACCGATCAAGTACAGGACAGGTTTCAGGTGCCCAAAGAAAGGATGTTGACAATTTCCATGCTGCTCTGAAACTTGGACTTCCTACAGAGATCATATTAGTCTCCTTAAGTAGTTCATCATCATCATCTATGAGTCAAAGTTTAGATTTAAATGGCAAAACAGGCTCATCGATAATGAGGCCTTGGAATACACGCAGAGTAACAGCATAGAGTCAGTGCTTATTACAAAATAGCTCTATGGGGTTGGATTCATAGAACAGAATACCCAACCAAATCATGTGGGAAAGGGCAGAGGAAATGCCTTAATGTCAATGTACAACAAAACTTTAAATGATACAATAAAGCTGTAAGAACAGAACAGACTCCTCTCCACAACACAGACACACAAAACAAAACAAAAATAGCGTGGAGCCGCCCAATTCAGACTTAAAGGGGATTTGCCGTTCATGTGGCCCGGCCAACCTCACTTTGCAGATGAGGAAACCAAGTCCCAGAAAGGGGATCCAAGATGACCTAGACTGGATTCTGCGCCCAGTGTCTCTACTCCACTGTCTCAAGACCAGCTTTCCCTGAAAAAAAAAAAAAAAAAAAAAAAAAAAAAAACAACAAGGGGGAAAAGCTGCCATTCTTACCATTGGCTGACTCAAGGGATCTAAGGATCTTGAGAATCTTTCTTCCCTTTACTCACCATGACGAAAAGCTAAACCATTAACGCTCCGACAGTTCCCCAGAAAAAAACTGAAATTCTCAAAAGTGAATAGAGGCTTTTCTGGGCCCACGATGGTGGAGGTAGAAGCAGGTGTGCCCAAGACCTGCAGAAGAACACGGCAAGTTCGTGCACCTGTACGTGCTGTGGAAATACTCCTCTAGCAACTGCATCATCGGCACCAAGGACCACGCATCCATCCAGGTGAACGTGGCTGAGGCTGACAAGGTGACAACAGGCTCAATGGCCAGTTTAAAACCTATGCTACCTGTGAGGCCATTGGCAGGATGGGTGAGTCAGGGGACTCTATCCTCTGACTGGTCAAGGCCAATGGCATCATTTCAAAGAACTTCTAACTGAAGAGGATCACGGATGTGGAGTATTTGCCATAAATAAATAGCATCTCCACCCCCCCCCCCCAAAAGTGACAAGATAGGAACATGCACGTGTTCTGGCAGAATCATACAGCTCCTTTTCACATACATAACTCCCAAAGAACCACAGCTCATAAGAGTCCAAACTCTATATCAGATCAATGGAACTGTGCCAGAATCAGAAGAGCCTCAGACATGAAGCAAAGCAAACTTTGCAATAATCAAGAGAAAGGGAAATTTCCTATATGCCTCAGGGAACCTTTCCCAGAAGGTCTCAGGGTTGCTGAAAAGGAAAGATTCTGTGGGTCGTTATACCAACGAATTCAATTTTGTCATCCTTAAAGGTCATCAGCTACATTTAGATTTAGTTTTCCCAACAAACTAAAGGAAAAAACATCATTCAGGGATCAGAATGGGAAAGAGCCGTAAGGAGGGCATACTGGGAAAGCAGCATCCCATTTACTGAGCTTAATGATGGACTGTGGAAGGTCCCGCCCTCCTTCCAGTAGCATCTGTATCCTAAAGCTGCATGACATATACTCTACACAACCTTTTTTCAGGTTATCATTAGGATTCTACTGCTAAAGCTGAGTTTTCTGGTTTGTTCCTTTTATACTGAAAGTCCTCGTAGTGTCGGATAGCCGAGAGTAGCAGGAGGAAAAATAAATGCTAAACCAAAGACAAAGCACAGGAAATGATTAAACCAATAAGTTAGGTTAAAAGACTTTTCTCTATTAAGTAGAAAGTATGCCAATGAGTTGCTTTAATTTCTACTCTGACAAAGCTGAATTGGTTCCCTTTTTTGAGCATTCAGAAGCAATATATAACATTGTTTCTAAAGCATACAACTTCACATTGCTTAGGATAGTTAAACTGGCCAACTAAATTTAATAAACAAAACTTAAATTTTTATAAAATATCGGAGACTACTAAACTTTTGAAAACCCAATCCACATATTAATGACATCACAGACCTTAATGCTTAAGCTTCAAAAGGGAAAGAAACATCAAGTGCTAGAACATGCAAATTCATTTTGTTTCAGCAAAACTCTTTATAGTCCCTTTCAAACAAAACAGATACATTATAAAAGCATGAAATCACGGCTATAAAAATAACTAAAAAGTTGATTTCTAAGTAGTATTATATATTAGTCTAATTACTTTGAAGTAGACTTGAGCTTCATCATTTTAAAGGACAACCAAAAACATTCCACCACTTCAACAGTCAAATAAACTTAATCAGTCACTGACAAAAATACACGGACTGATTCCTATTTATCTATAAAATGTCAAAAATATCTGCCCTACCTATTAAATAAGATGGAAGTGAAAATCAAAATGAGACAGTATGTACAAGTATTTGGTAAACATTTAAATTATATTGTGAATCGATAAATAGTAGAGCTTACACGAAGAATACTCAGGTACGAGTTAATGTCGTAATGTGGTATGGTTAGAGTAGATGAGGTATCATTAACTTGGAGTCTAATCTTAGTTCAACCACTAGGTACTAGTAACTTCATTATAATACAAATCACTAAGGCCCATCAAGCCCCATTTCCTTATTTGAAAAGTGACAGAACTAGACCAGAAAAAGATCTGAAGTCCCTTTCAGCTTGGCTACTTTGATGAGTAGTATTTCACCCCTAAATTACTGCTACTGTTAGGTAAGTAACATTTGACATTACCACATATTCTCATTATTTCCCACCATGTCCCAAGGGGATACCCCATCTTTCCGAACGCAGAAGATATAGCAGCAATGACCACTACCTCTGTAGACTTGTGTGTCAACCTGGAGGAGTTCAAAGCACTATTTCATGTTCCTCTACAGGTCAAAGATTACATGAGACGAAGACACATTTTATCCCTCATTTATCAGACTAGTGAGCTGAAGTCAAGAATAAGTCATCCGCCAAGAGATCACAGCTATACGAGTAAAAGGTAGAAGGAGAAAGCAGGCCTAGTGCTCTTCTCAATGAGGGATAACTGAGCATCTGAAATGAAATATAACAGAGCCAGTCATCTCAGGTCCGACCTGCCAGGGAAGAAAGGCAGGCCATCACTCATCCAAAACATTTGCTGAACCACTAGGCACTGTTCTTTCTGGCTGCCAGGGATACAGTAATGGACAAAAGAAAACTCCCTGGCCTCACAGAGCTTACACGGTGGCTAGGGAAGATGGATAAAGTAAATGAGTGAAACGGAGGGTATATTACAGTGGTAAGCGGTATGGAGAAAATTGAAGCATGGGAAGGGGATAGAGAGCATGTGTTTGGTGATTTGTAATTTTAAGTCTGCTGGATGCCACTTACAAGAATAATTCATCTATAGTAGTTGTGCTATCTCCCGAAACAGGGAATACTTTGGATACAGGGAAGACTGTGACCTGCCGATTCCAATTTGATGCTGAGTGCTCAAACCTCCCAACAGCCAGGTAGGAGCTGTCTATCAGACTGGCAATCCAAATTCCATTCTAACAAAGGCTCCCTGCGCCCCACCTTTAAATCCACAAAGAGTGCAAGCAGATTTACAGAACGCAGCCAGGAGAAGTTACAAGAGCACCTGAACAGCTTCTGAGTTGGCAGAGGTATCTCCTAATGCAAAGGTTAAGATGGAGTTTCAGTGCCAAGTGGTGCTGGGACAAAGCCCTAAGAATACAAGCCCATCATTTTGCTTTTTCTGACCTGTCAATTCTAGTGACATTCTCTACTATTAGTCTATATTTAACCCGCTTACTGGACAGTTTCTCCAGCTTTTAGTATTTTTTTTTTCTTTTGCTAAAAGAGCCACCCAGTTTGCAAAAAGTTGCTATAAAAAAACAGAGCCCCTCGCAAGATCGGACACACTGGATTAAGCACCATGTTATCAACCTTAGTTAACCTGGTTAGTTGATTTAGCATAACAGCTTAAGCTTTGTTTTACCCAAGTTTTAAAATGCTCTCTGAGTCTCTGAAATCTCACGATCCTGGCTTGTAACCGCATCCTGAGAATTACAGTAAGTGCTCTAAAATTAGCTACAGCTTACTTTAACGTGTGCCTATAACGCACAGCCCAGCTTTTACACGGAGCTCCCACCGGGCGTGGAAAAAGACGCGTCTGACAGGAACTTCGGCCTCGAGGGTCGGATGGCGGACCCCGGGGAGAAGGTCCCACGGGCTCTTCCCTCTGCCCGCAGCGGGCGAGGAAGTGTTTGTTCGGCTTCTCCGCGGGAGGGGCGCGCCCGGCTCCGGTCGCCGCGCCAGCCCGGCCCACTGCGCGATTTGGAGGCGAGCGGCCGGCAAACTTCAGCCCGGCTCCGCGGGCCGGGCCCGGGCGAGGCTCCGCCCTGCTCGCGGGTGCGGGTCCCCGGCCGGCCCAGGACGGCGTCCCGGGGCCTCGGCGGCTCGGAGGCCCGTGCGAACGCCGGGCGGTGGGCACCGGAGCAGGGAGGACTGGAGAGCTGCGGCCCAGGCTCCGGGGGTCGACTCCAGGGAGCCGGGGGTCCGCGGGGGACACGGGTCTGGCCCGAGGGTAACCGAAGCTAAGGGGCCGTCCCGGGGGTCCGGCAGGGCGTCCGCCGGAGGGACCCCGCGCCGAGCGGTGAGCGGCGAGGAGCGGGGCGGCTGGGGGAGTGGGGACCAGGTGCTCCGGGGACACGCCCGGCCCGGCCCGGCCCACCCCCGGGCTCCGGGCAGCGCGGCCCCGCCCGGCCCGCCGCGGCCCCCTCCTCACCTGATGTACGGGCTGGCGGCCGCCAGGATGTTCTTCTGCACGGGGATCTCCTCCCCGTCGAGAACCAGGTGCGCGTCGCAAAAGCGGGACTCCTCGCGGAAAGAGCTGAGCGCTCGCAGCAGACGCGCGGCATGCTGAGGGTCGGACACAGCGCTGCCTTCGGCCATCTCCGCGCCGCCTCGTCAGCCGTCTGGTCCAGCTGCCTCAGCCGCCCCGCCAGACCCTAGGAGCTGCCCGGCGCGCGCCCTGTGTGCACAGCCCGCGCGCGCGCGCGCCCGTCCCGCCCGACACTCTGCGCTCGGAGAAGCAGCGGGAGCCCCCGGAACGCGCCTGCGCCATCGGCGGCGCAAGGGGCTGGCGCCTTTAAGGAGCCGCGGCGTTGCGTCATTTCTCTGCGACGCCCCCGGGCTCTCGGTCCCGCCCTCTCTCCAACGGTTGCCGGAGGCGGCCAATCAGAAGCCTAGTGCCTCTGGGGAATCAGCTGGTCGCCGTTCCCGCGCGGCCAGGGGCGGTCTGCCGCCGAGAGCCGTCGCTGCCGCGGTGGAAGGTGCGCAGGCCCTCGGGACTCTTCTGGCTCAGCCCGGGGCCTCTGGCGCCGCGAGTCTGAATCCGAGCCTTGCCTCCTCCACTGAGCAGCTGTGTGGCCATGGGTAAGGCGCCCATCTTCCATGTCTCCGTCTGCGCAGTGAAGGTGATGACTTCGTGGTTTTGCGGACTCGTGGGAGCTCACGCTTGTAAGCGAGGGTGCGGTGGGTGTAGCTTTTCCTATTCCTGAGAGAAGAGGCGCTTCCCGGGGGAGAGCACAGAGACCCGAGAAAGCAGGCCCTGCAGAATGAGCCTTTGTTTGCCGGCTACGGAGGGGATGGAGCGGATGAAGCTGCAGAGCTGACAGGCCTTGTATTGTGCGGAGCCCCCTGGTCGGTGGTAGGGAGGTTGGCCTTGATCCCGCAGGGGTCAGGAACTATGAGAGGGTTTTGAACAGCCGCGGGATCCCCCAGCTGCGTGCAGAACGAGGAGGGTCGTGCTAAAGGCAGAAAGATGCCTCAGTGTTGCCGTACTTGAAGGAAGGGGCCCGGGACCTAAATCGGAGGATGGTGGTGGATGTGGTTAATCATGGGTGGCTGTGAAGGAACAGACAGAATTGTGAGGGAGAGGGAGTCCGGGACAGTGTTCTGGTCGGGTAACTGCGTGGCTGTTGCTGCCTTTCAGGCCGACAGGAAATGCCAAAGGGGGGCTGGAGGGTGTGTGTAGAGAACCAGATGCTCAGGTGCGTCTAGGTTCCCAACCCAGTGAAGATCGAACTTGTGACAGGAAGCAGCTTTGGGTCGGCGCAGTCAGGGCAAGCCCCTTGGGTCTTAGGTTTCCCTGGAGGTTAAGGGCACATGGGAGTGTGGAGTGTAGCCACCACTTTGTTCAAACACTCGGTTGTTTGTACAAACAGTTCATTTGTACGGCCCTCGATAAGCTTCTAAATTCAATTAATTCAATAAGCTTCTACAGAATTAGCAGTTTTTCTGAAGAATTAACGATTGGGACCAAGGACCTGAAGAATGGTCAGCGTTTGAGATAAGGCAGGAGGGGATTTTCACTGGATCAGTTCCATCTTCTTCAACCAACCGAAAGGGTCCAGTACAGCCTTGAGTCTCCACCCTGAACCAGCTAAGGCTTCCGAGTCGCCGCAGGAATCAGGGTGTGTAACTCTGGCACAGCTGCTGGCAGAATGGATGGGGAAAAGGAATTTAATAGTGGAAGGTCTAGACATTTCTAGTCCTTCTTTAAACGCAGCATTTATGGCTGAAATGATAAAGACGTCTCGGATTGGCTTCCAGACAAAATGGAGGGATGGAGGGAAGCGGCGGAGGGTACTGATGAATCAGAAGTGTATATGAGTTACTAATTGTTAAAGCAGGTTGTGAGTACATGGAGTTTCATTGTACTAATCTCAGTATTTTTGTGTGTTGTAAAATGTCACAATAAAAGTAAAGCAAAAAAAAACCACAAAAAACTGAGATAAGCAGCTCGAACTTATCTTCTCCGTGATACTCCCTGCCCATTGTCCCTGGGAGAGGTCGACACACGTTTCTCCAAGCTGTTGCTGTATCTTGAACATTGCTCTGCCAGATAACTTATTATAAATGGGTTTCCTTATCCATGTCACCGGCTAGCTTGTACACTTTAGTGGCTCGATTTCCAGGTGCTAAGCACAGTGCGGGGCTGTAGTAACGCTCACTGAATGTCGGATGGATGGAGAACAAAAATGTGAATACCAAGCACTTAATAAATGTTTTCTGAATTTTATCTCTTGTTTTTACTTTCTTTGTCTTTGTCTTCATTCCCAACTGGGTTGTTGGGGTCAAAGGTGATGTGTATGACAGAGTTATCTGTACAATATAAATACTTGATAAACACTTATTAATTGCATGGAATGCTGGTCTACTCTTGAACTACCAAGGAGGTTCCAAAACAAAACAAGGCTCAAGTAAGAGAATTACCCTCAGGTAACCAGTTTCCCTGGAATGGGACTGTTGCCTTAGTTGAAATAACTGGAGGTGACTGGGGATGAGTCAGGTAGGCTCTTCCTGGTAGAGGTGAACCTTCTCTGGCATTTTGACAAAAGGAAGGGGTAGGCACTGCCCCATAAAGGAAATGGTGCCACACTTTTTCTTTTTCTCCCATGCATCTTTTCCTCCCAAATGGAAGGAAGAGCTAATGTCGAAAAACTGGGACATTTGATATGTGGATCTGAATTTTCAGATCTTAAAAAATCACCGGATTTGGCCCCACTGGGCCGTTGTCCCACGGAGCAGTCTGCTAGAGCTGAAGGGCAGCTTCCTGCTCTGGATGGAGTGTTCCTCAGCTCCCTGTCACCCCCTGACCGCACTGGGTTAGTTACATCCTCCCTGCTGTGCTCATTTACCCAACTTGCTACCTCTAATTATGCAAAAGCACGGGAGCGGCATCTATTAAGCACCAGGCACTATGCAGGTCCCTTGAAACACGAGTGAATACAACACAGCTCCCACCTTGGAGGAGCTCGCAAACCAGCCTAGAAACCAGTTAATTATAGTGCGGTAAGTTCAGCACAGAAAGCAGGAACATGGCATAGCACAGGGACTCTGCCCTGGGAGGCTGCTTGGAGACCTTCCTTGAACGTCCTATTTGAGCTTGACTTTGAAAGACGAATGAGTTACTCAGGCTGGTGGGCTCTTGGGAAATATTGCCAATAGCAGGGCCGTCTCTGAAAGCATATATAAGGTCTTCTGCTCTGCCTGTTGCACAGGTGACCCTCTGAAGCTAGTAACTACCTTTTCCCTGATTGATGCAGGTCTCTCTAAAGCCTTCTGCCCAGATGCCCCCTGGTAACCAGAAAACCACCTTTTACTGAGAGGGAAGTTAACAATCAAAAAGATGCTAGGTTGTCAATAAAGTTTTGAGGTCAGCTCAGGTGCCCCAAGAAAACACATCCTGGTGCTGTAGGGAAGGGAAAGGGCCCAAGCGTGGGAGGAAGGATCTGTGGGGCAGAACCTGCCCTCCTGTCAGCTGCAGGAGCCACTCCTGGTTAGCCCTTGGACTGTTTTGTAGGCTTTCTTGTTATTGCTCAAACTGAGCCACCCTTGATACTGTTTACAGCCTTCAGAATGGTGTATTTGGTGTTATTGTTTCCCCACATTCCATGGATTTCAGATCTCAGCTGTTGTGAAACCAGTAATTTGAGATCTGGTAGGCTCCCAGCCATTTTAGTCCCTGGTGACTGTAACTGACCCCTGCTGCCTTAGTGGCTAAACAACCCCCAGAGAAAGGACTTTTTTCTTCTCTCTCCTTCCTTCCATCCTTCCTTCCTCTTTCTTTATTTCTTAATTTCTTTTTGACTAAAATTCACAAATACTAGCAGCAGTCATTCATCCAACAAATATTCAACACCTCCCATATGATACGTTGTAGATACTACAGATAGCGTTACCTCAGAGGTATGAGTGTAGAGACTTTTTACTCTCTCTGCTTTTCCGATCATGGATCATTTTCTTAGAATCAGAAAAAAAAAAATTTCCAGTTGCAAAAAGGAAAAAAGCCAGCTTTACTTTGGTTTGAAAGATGAGCCCTCGTGGAAGAGAAGAATCACCTTGGAGTTTAGAGTTTTGTTTTTTTAAAAATGTTGGAAAGAAGAATGAGAGTCCAGCAAGAGAAATAATGCAAAGAAAGAACTTAATAGTTTGGAGGCTCTTTAGAAAACACTGAAACTTACATTCAATTTATTGAAGAGAAAACTGACCCAGGATGAGTCAAGGATTCAGTCAAGGTCATACATGTGACCTAGTCCAAGCAGAACACACAGGCCCAGAGCTTCTGCCTTCCAGCCCTGTAAGCTTTTCCATTACACCAAGTTGACTCTTCATAAACATTAATTTGGTTGAGAGACAGTCTCTTCTGATTCATTTTAAGGCGGTCTTCGCATATTTTATGAGTGAATCTGTCATTTGTCCAAATCTATTTATAGCTCTTTTCTTTCGGAAAATCTAAGCTCTTCCAAATTGCTGAGTCAGAGAGCATCTCAGTATTTATAACTCTTCAGAGTTGATTCTTTGTATTTACACATTCGGAGAAGTGTCTTAGAAACGAGTGAACTAATTAAGTTGTAATAAAGAGAGTGACTGTTTTTGACCAAATTTGTGCTGTACTCCCCAGCACCCAGTAGAGTGTGTGACACACAGTAGGTATCAAGAAATATTTACTGAATGAATAAATGTTAATAATTAGGGAGCACTGAGATTTTTCTGTCCATAAGGGATTACTTTAGATGATTTCTTTCTTCTTGTTAATTTATTTTTTTCAAGTTCCAAGATTCATTGTTTATGCACCACATCCAGTGCTCCATGCAATATGTGCTCCTTAATACCCACCACCAGGCTCTCCCAATCCCCCACACCCCCAAAACCCTCAGTTTGTTTCTCAGAGTCCACAGTCTCTCATGCTTCGTCTCTTCCTCTGATTTCCCCCATCTCACTTCTCCTTTCCATCACCCCATGTCCTCCATGTTATTCCTTATGCTCCACAAGTAAGTGGAACCATATGATAACTGTCTTTCTCTGCTTGACTTATTTCACTCAGCATAATCTCCAGGCCTGTCTACGTTGATACATAGGTTGGGTATTCATCCTTTCTGTTGGAGGCATAATACTCCATCGTATATATGGACCACATCTTCTTTATCCATTACTTCAGATGGTTTCTATGATTCCCCCACCAAACACCAAGCAACAGCCTGCTAACAGCTCCAAGTGAATA